GCTTAGTTGGCCTGGCGGGAGCCGATTCGAGATCTGACTCCCGAATGCGCGTGATGTAAGCGTGCCGCTTGCCACTACACCATCTCCGCCTCATGGAACTGAATCCACACCAATAATTCAATTCAGTCAATAAGTAGTATTTCAAAGATAAAGGACAGAATAGCGGACTGGTCCGGGTCTGATCTACTCCAGGGAGAAAAGTTCCCCTTCAAAATTTCGCATGCATAAAGTCGCTTTCACAGATGGCTAATAATTACCGAAAGTGTTTACCTCCAATCAACTTCAATACGAGAGTGAGAGGAACAGTTGGAGGAAGACTGAGTAAGAAATAATGGGCGATTTACGTCGTATATGTTGAAAAAGACAAAGCGGTGCCGGACAAAAATAGGGTGCAGTTCGTCGGCGGCGTAGGTGGGGGGAAAGGGGAGGGGGGAGGGGGCTCCTGCAATTTTGCTGTTCACTGGTTCGGTACACAAGTCTCACTCAGATCAAACATGTGAAACTTGTAAAGCTGGAGCAAGCGCCGCCGAGCCGTAATGGTGAATGGTATATGTGTGGTATTTCTTGGCTTCAAGAGAGTTGACAGGTACCTTTGATGAAAGTTAACAGGTGGTCTCTACAAACTTTGCTCGCGTCCACAAGACTTCACAGGTCTTCACGTTGTGGCCCGACATGTCCATGGGAAGTAGCCAAAGTGCGAAAGCCCCTCCCTCTCCCCTACTTTCCTTCCGCTCCCACTTCCCGTGGCCAATGTTTGGCCAGGAATGGTTTCGATGAAAATGGAACTGAAGGCTCTACATCTCAACATTGCTTTGCTGTTCTGAAAGCGAATTTCATGTTCAAAAGTCAACAAAAAATGAATAATTGAAGAGATAACTATAAAATGCAGGATACCAGCCTGGCAACAGTACTCTCAAAGTCGCACCACAAAAGAAAGAGAAGCAAAATACCGAAAAAATCTCACCATTGACACCATCCCGTTGATCTCAGTACCCGACATCGAATCATAAGCATGGGTCATGAATATAGGAATTCCTATGATTAGGTAGGAAAGGGTACCACCAAAATAATCGAACATGTTGGTAACAATGCCAAGTATGAAACGCCATTCAACAAGTTTCCGCTGAAACAGTTATGAGGACCTCTAAAGTCGCTTAAAGTGAAAATCGTTGCTGCAAACGATTCGATTCGTGAATAGAGGACGTACCTTTATTCTTAACAGGGCCTTGAGCTTTTGATTTGTCATTATATTCTCAATGAGACCTGACTGGTAAAATGCGATCGATTCCACATTTGTCCTCACCTCCATGTGTCGTTGTCTAGAAAGCATGAATTGATAGGTGCCAACAAATCGAGGGGGTAAGTAGTCTGGGGAGGCGGGGGAGGATTCAGCCGCACCTGTGCTTCCTTTCCCATTATCAAGGTTTTTTAATTTTCCATCCCCTTCCCGAAAATTCTTTTTTTTTTGCCAAAAACTACCAATGAGTGGATGATGTGTAGCCCGTGAAACAGCAAAACCAAGAACGAACGAAAAAGTCAACAACCGAAAATATCTTTTTCGGTAGTAAGTAAGACGCCCTCTTCCCACCCCAAACAAGGCCCCTTTGTTGGGGATTCTCAACGGACAACATGCCGTGTTCGGCATTGCCAAATGACCGTAGCTTCATTCCT